GTTGCTCATTATTTGGGAATATCTCAAAGCAGACGTGGTATTTAGTCTCACCAGCAGATGAATGGGAAATCATACGCCATAAATGGTCAGGTTTACAGAAGTTTCCTTGATCACAAATGGAACAGATGTACCTGGTAAAGATATCGGTGGAAAAGAGGAGAAAGCACGAGACGCAAATGAACCCATGTAGGAGTCTATTCAGAGGGGTTGGACTCAACGGGACTGAGAAAACGGCGTGGAAGGAAAAAGAGAGCAAAAATGGCGTGTCCAGATTTAAAGGCTTCCTAGCACATGCGCACGAGCGGAAAGACGTGGCTACATCAGAGGCTGATGATGGGCAGTGCTACGCCTCGCACCTACATACAGGAGCTTTTGCGTCAGACGCTGATGACACAGATGGCGGGCAACCCACGCATGCGCACACAGGGGGTACGTGCGCCGGCTTTATAACCCAGAAGTACAGCCTTACTGGTGGCTAAAAGAATTACACCTGGCCATGCCTTTGTGCATGTCATTTGTAGATACAACTGCCACTCTTTTAGAAACTTACCATATATCTGACACACAAACTGCTTTTCCTTTGTATGAACAATATAGTGTTCTCTCAAACGACAGCACTGGAAATCCTTTTCTACACAGATTTCAAAAATATTTTCATCTGTGATCTCTTTCATTTTCTTCCATGATGGCACTCTTAAACATATCCTGGTTTAGGCAGCTAGACATATGCTTAACTAGTAAATTTTCAGTTTCAAAACACTGGCCACAGTTGGAACACCAAAATGGACAAGCAGAATATTCAAATAACACTTTTTCTGGATACTGTTTATTTGGCAACGATTGTGCCTGAAATTGTCTAGCATTTCAAACATGTCTCTTATCTCAGACTGCTCATCATGGTTCTCATCCATGTCCATCTTCTCATCAGCATTTCCTAACTGATTTATTGTCAGTTCCTGAGGTTCTCCACATCTCTGAGCATGTTCCTGAAACTGTTTGTGAGAGACCCTCACCCCTTATTTTCAAAGGGATGAGAATTTCCTAGCAAAATGTTTAGAAACACAGACTAGCAGCACTTTCCTTCCCCCCTCCCACCTGGGAGATTCCAAGCACAAGGTCATTTAGCCCAGCCAGCTGGCCATCTGATGATAAAGAAAAACAAAAAGAAAGCCAACTTAGCAGGATGGGAGGGAGCAGAAGACCTTGCACCCATGCCAAAAGCCACTTCCAAAAGCCTTTTTTTGTAGATTGCACCTTTTAAAAACTAACCCCACAAAGGCATTTTTAACTTCTCTTTCTCTCTCTACCTTGTTGTTTCGTGGTAGTGAAGAGGAAGTTGCTGGTCAACCAGTAATTGCCTGTACCTGCTTGTACTTGCAATAAAAGAGTTAAACCTTGCAATTTGTAGTCCTGTCCTCTGGGGGTGGGGGGAGAATACTCAAGGCACAACAGTTTGCCCTTGACAAGTATTTGTCCACATTTACCACATGCACAGGTATTTTCGATGCATTTGGCTAACTAATGAGATGAGAGGTCCTCCTCAGTTATTGGGATTCTACACAACTCACTACAGGTATTGTCAGCATCCTCTTGTCCTGGAATGCTACTAGTTGTGGTGGTGTGTGTGTGTGTGGAGGGTCTCATACCTTCTAAATCACTTCGCTCATCTACACTTATAGGCTTTAGGGTTTTCCTACCACTGTTTTTAATGCTAACATCTGCCTCAACATAGTATCAATAAAACACCTCTTCAGTTTTATCTTCTAACTCATCATTGTCTGTGGATTCATTGCAGTCTTTGTCAGCAACTTTAATGATTTTTAAGTCTTTCATCTCATCTGTAGGAATATCTTCCGGCTCCACCTTGATAACAATTCGGTTCATCTCGGTGGCTCTACTTTTGTCTTCACCAGCCACCATTCCAGACTCCACTGTGCCTTTTCTGCTTCGAGTGGTCGAAGCTGAATCACCAGGCACCTGGCTGGCATCTTCTCTGTATTTGTTTGTGCAGAAAATGTTTTGGAAGAATCCTTTCTGCTCACCTTCCTAGACCTGGATGGAGGCAGGGAGGACCTTAGACTTCCCACAGGGCAGGGAACCCTGATTGCTCTCAGGACTGGAGAGGAAGAGGGAGGGGGAGGGGAGAGGGAAATGGGAGGAGGTGGCAATTTTTAATGAAAAAATAAAATAAAGAATCCTTTCACCAATTTATGCTTTGATGTTACTATCTTTTCCATCTCTAATATCTACTATACGGTGGTAAGCTCTCACGGTGCTTTGATATGAATGTGTTAGTGCAACCCAACCCATGCTCATCTAGTAACTTTTTTATTTTTTCGAGACAGGGTTTCTCCGTAGCTTTTGGTTCCTGTTCTGGGACTAGCTCTTGTGGAAAAGGCTGGCCTCGAACTCACAGATATTCGCCTGCCTCTGCCTCCCGAGTGCTGGGATTAAAGGTGTGCACCATTACCGCCTGGCTAGCTAGTAACTTTTCACAGATGAAGCTAATTCCACAACTATCACAGGTAAAACTCTGCCCAAAGTGTCATAACACACATTCTTTTGGAGTAGATAATTTGGACACAGAACTTTCTTTTTACACACATCAAATATTGGCTCAGAAAATTAGCTAACTGTAAAGATTCTTAGATGAGCTCTCTATTATGTGGTGTATTCACCATTGAACTGGGTTCTTCACACCACCTGCTGGCTGCAGTGCCATGGTGTCTTCATACATCCTCACTCCAAAGATCATCTTGCTGTTCTGCTTGCTTGAAGCAAAAGACGAACACTTTGAACTAGAATAGTCTGCGTCCAGTATATCTTCTAAGCAGTCAGGCACGTTGTACAGCTGTAGGTAGTTCATTGCCACTTTGAACTGCACGAAACTGGAAGGAGCAATCATAATCTTTCCTGAATACAGAAACTGCAAAATGAGACCAAAACCCTCAGCGCTTATTTTCATGTTGCTGAGATTCAGCTGTGCATCATTATAATGTGGTTCATGAAGAACATTCTGAAATAGGAGCTAAAGACAGCTCAGACCGCTTTGTGAGCCTGGAAGTAAATGATGTCCATAGAAAACCCCATTCTCTCTGGTTGCTGAGCTGCTGAAGGACATAGCTGCTGTGGATGGACTTCGCCATTTTCTAGTAATCAGACCTGCTCCTGATGCATCCACGAGGCACCACTGGAGGCGAAAAGCACGTTCTTTTCCGGACTCGGTGGGGAAAAAAAACAAACAAACAAACAAACCCGTATCCACAGAAAAGTTGCCAAACCCCGAGACCTACCATTTTTGACCAGAACGAAAAGCCCGTGTGCTAATGAGAGGGGGTGGGAAAGAGAAAAGCTGAAATCCGCGCGACCCAGGCGCCTCCTCCCTCAGGGAACACCTCCAAGTCTGCAGCCTCAGGCCCTGGGAGGCTGCCCTTCCACCGACCCCAAGCAGCAGCTGGAAGTTAGCAAAGCACTCTCTAGGCCGGTCATTCAAGTGCGGCCTCCCGCCTCGACCTCCCCTCCCCCAGCCCAAAATAAAATAAAGGGAAAAATAAGTAATTTGGAAAGTCGTCTGGAGAGGGAATTCGTCCCAGATCTGGGAATGACGCGTGCACTGGACTGACCGCCCGCATCTAGCAGGCGGCCGGCTCAGCAGCCCCTGCCACAAAATTCTCGCCGGGCACATTCCGCGCTCCGGCTTCCCGGCGACCCGGCCCTGGTCAAAGTTGCGCAACTCGCCACCACGGCTGGCAGCTGCTCAGCGGGCTCGGTGGGACAAACGGCTGCGGGGGTTTCCAGGAGTTTCGGGCGGCGGGGCCCCGGGGCGAGCGGGTGGGCAGCCGGAGGCGAGGAGTCGCGGGCTGCTGCACTGAGACACTCCGGCTGTGGCAGGGACGGCGCTGCAACAAATGACTTCCGCTGCTGCACAGCCGCCCCTGACTCAGGGCACTGAGCCTCCCCGCTTACGTGGCGACTCCCGGTCTGCCCACCTGTTCGCCTCAGCGACCACCAGCCTTCCCCTCCCTCTCCCCGCCCACCCACTCCGCCACTGGAAGCTAGGGCTCCCGCGGTCGCCTGGTGGTGACAAGTTTCTGTGTGGGGGTTGAGGAGGCTGGCACAGCCCTCAGCGGAGCTGAGGCCCAGGCGGCGGCTGCAGCAGCACTCTCGCCCCTCTCCCCTGGGTCGCCTAGGCCCTCCTCCTGTTTGCACAGCTGGACGCCACTGGGATCCTCCCGACTCCTCAGAGCTGGATGCTGCTCGCCCCTCGCCCAGATATCAGACCCCTGCCCCGCAGGGCTCCGCAGTTGGACCCGCCCCCGGGTTCCACCCTGAACGCTCTGGGGACACTGACACCCTCATCTGGTCCCCTTGAGCTTATTTGCTCCGGGTCGCCCGTTCCCGGCGCCTCCTTGCTCTGGCCTTTGGCCTGTGACCTGAGTTACTTCCCCCACTGTGCCCCGCCAGGCTCTACTACTGCCTTGGCTCCCGCCGCGCGCAACACCTGCCCTGCGAGAGCTGGTTTCTACTTTTCTTTCCTGATTTTCTGAGGTACATGTGGCAACCAGGAAGAAAAAGCATCTTTACTTCATTTTACCTCAGCATGAAACTACAGAACAAATATTCCTTTTTGTATCCTTAAATCTCTTCTGGAATACACACGCGACAAGGAATTACGCTATTCACAAAGTTTAGAGGGCTGTGCAAGAAGGTTACCCACCTATCGTCCAGGAGGAAAGAAGGAGAAGTGCCTATAGGAAGATAGTAGGATCTGCTATTGGATCCAATGGCAAATGCTATTGAAATACATATCTCTGCTAATCTAGAAAAGGTCTTTGCCGGGTTTGTAAAGCAGTGTTAGATAACGTTGTGTTGAGTCTTTAAGAACAAGCTAACCCAATGGGAGGTGCACTTGTCACTCAGGTATCATTAGCCAATCAGACCCTCCAGGTGACCTGCCAATCAGAAGTGGTGGAGGGCGCTTCCGGTTTCCGGGTTCCAGCTTGGCAGTGAAGTGGAAGTGGAGCCAGTCTTGTGTGCTGTTCAACTAAAACTGCGTGGAGCGCTTGGGAAAGCTAGGAAACCGCGGCATGGTGAGTGAGGGGCTGCTGTCCCTGGACTGGGAGGAGCAGACGGTGAGGTGCGGGAACCAGTGAGGTGGTTCCTCTCCAGTTCTGCTTCAGAAACTGCAGCCAGATTCCCCATCCTTTCAAGTTCATTGCGGTGCCTGCAACTCCCTGAATAGGGCAGGCCCCTGAATAACTTGGCACTGTGGGCTGAATCTGCTCAGAGAAGATTCAGAATCTTCTCAAAGGGAAGGAATATTAATTCTAGAACTGTTGTTGGGGGCAGAGAGCTGTGTGGAGAAACTTCTTTCTAGGCAACATCAGAATGCTTTTAGTGCGTTCATGGAAAGCAGGTTGCCAAACTCATGGAGGTCTAGTTTCTCTAGTATCTTCTAGAAGTTCAGCACTGTGCATTTCACCTTTATGTGTGAGATCCATTAACTGTTAATTTTGTGGAGGTTGTAAAAGCATCCATATGTTGGGTAGCCTTCCACTTCCACGCCTTGATGTAGAAGAGTGGAATTGGTAATATAAAGGATTTACAAATACTTAGAAAATATTAAGTCTCAAAAAGTAGAATTTAACTTAGGGGGGACTGACTACCTCTAAAACCCTCAAAATATATGTGTATGCTGATCAGATATGTTAATGATTAGGATGCTAGGATGCACATTTGTTCAACAGGATTTTTTAGACTTTTGGCTCCAAACCTTTACAATGAAGCCTTCCCTGGTTTACAACCAAGTAGTAGGTCCATCTGCATACCAAAGAACAGGCCTATAACAAGCTGCTCCTGGGGGCATAACAGGGTCACAACCAACCTTAGGGCCTGGTGGGCCATTGAAGTTTCTTTTTTTTTTTTTTTTTTTTTGCATGGGGAGAAGGGGGGAGCATAGTTCTGCCTGATGGGCAATATGACAGAGGTGACATCTATTTGAAAAAACAAAACCCTGCTGTGTTGTGTTAAGGACTGGCCTGATCAACTAAGGCTTTTTTTTTTTTTTTTTTTTTTTTTTTTTTATTTAGGCCCTAGAGCAGAGAGGAGGGACATTTTTGAGAGAGACAATAACAGCCTGGAGCCTAGGCTTTGGGAGCTTTCCTAGGGTCTGATGTATTGACAGTTGAACATAGCTCCTTTGGTAATTGCTTGGGGTTAGGGCCTTTGTGGAAGAGTTGCTTTGGATCCTGAGAACCCCTCGGAGCTATGGTTGTCAATCCCAAGGCCCTTTTAGTTTTAGTAATGATCACATAAGACCCCATGTTTCCCTTGTGTAGAATTATTTGATTAGCCTCCCCTTGAATTTGTACTACTGTATGAGGGTTTCGGCTGACTTCATCGAAGTCTTTCATTTCCTTCCATTACGCCCCCTCCCCCCCAAGATAGATACAAGATTCTATTCCTCTTAAGAAACTAACTTGGCATGGAACTTAGCATGTGCAAGAAATCCCCACCCTAGCTTTTATCTTTTCATTTTCTTTCCTTTTTTTTTTTTTTTGGTTTTTCGAGACAGAGCTTCTCTGTAGCTTTGAAACATGTCCTGGAACTAGCTATTGTAGACCATGCTGGCTTCGAACTCCCAGAGATCTGCCTGCCTTGCCTCCAGATTGCTGGGATTAAAGGCTTGTGCTACCACTGCTCAGCTGCTTTTATCTTTTCTACCTTCTACTTATCCTATCTTCCTCATCCCCTGTGACCTTCACCACGGGATCCTATCACTATTTCAAGCCACTGGTGTACTTAAAGTGTTCTGGGAATATTTTTGCTGTCTAACCCTCCTGTCTGCCTGAGTGGCTAGACCTACAAATTGCCTATCTCTTTTGAATTGTTCAAAGCCTACATGGAACATGAACCCAAAAGACACGTAAGGATGACAGCACATGTGGAATGTAAAATCTGTCTAAGTTGGTTCCTCTATGGGTTTCAGGCAGAGATGGATGTGTACCATCATTAGAGAGATTTTTCTTTGTTAATCCCCTTTGTGTAAAGTGGTTTATAAAAGGGAAGGCATATTAATTCTAGAACTGTTGTATTCCATCCTATTGGAAAACTGTGTTTGAGACAAGCTCTCTAAGGCTGACTTGGGTGGCCTTGATTCCAGTCTGTTGCACTCAAGAGAATGGCCATGTTTTCCTCTATATTACACCTTCAAAATTCTTAAATTGCATGACTGTACCATCTATCTCAGTTTTAAAATAATCTGTTTGAGTCATTTAGTCAGCTCTCCAGTGTAGTCACAGGAAAAGGATCCACATATGGAATATTGCTTCTGTCTTCTGACCAAAATAGGAGGAAAAAAATTATTTTGTACATTTCAGGGGAAATAGGGTAGGCAACCAGCTCCTGAAGTCACCATTATGATAAAGGACTTGATTGTGGTCAGGGAGTGTTTCTGTAATTTCCCAGCGTGTTTTAATTCATATCATGTGAATGAACACAGATCAGTGTGGATGTACAGTTTGGAAAGGTTATCTTGAGCCAATGAATACTGAAGGTGTAGTTAAGCAGAGATCCTATGCAGATATTTTAGTCCTCCTTGATACAGTTATGTAAGCTCAGAGGTTTGAGGAACAGTCTTTTGATTTTAACTCTATGTGTCAGCTTACAGATCTCAGCAGACAACATAGATGTACGGGCCTAATCAGTCTATCTCTTATTAATGACTTTCCCTCTACTAGGGAAAGTCCTACTGTTTTTCAAAGTCAGTATACCTATGCTTTCTAATCTTAAAAGTACAATTTTCTTATCATTTTAAAAATCACTTATGGGTATCAAGTTTTAAATGTTTTCTTTAAGTGCATTACTGCCCTCATCTCTATTTTCTCCAATGTTTCTAGATCATTAATATCTTCAATCCTTTTCTTTAATTGATGTTGATTATTCATTTCTATGTAAAGCAATGTCTTCTATAGCTTAGGTTTGCCTCATGTAATTAAGAATTGCTTTGAACACCTTACCTTGCCTTTTCTGCACAGTACTGGGAAGACAGTTCTACAAACTCCTTCCAGACTAGGCCTTCACTCGCCATTGAGCAGGCAAATTAGACCAATTCATAGGTGACCTTCAATCTCTCTGTGTTTTGGAGGGGACTTATATATGAAGAGGGACATGTGCTCTAATTGAATCATTGAAATATTTGAAGCTGGTCGAGTAAGAGTGTAGAAATGGGGAGGAAGGAAGGAGGATGAGAGCTTTCCTGCTTCACCAGTAGTTGAGATTAACAATGTGAGGTTAGGTAGTCAATTTGAGATGCTTCATAAATGTCCTGACTTGCCATTTCTTATGGTTACAGACAAGGGCAATCAAAAATCTGTTTAAAGGACTGACATGATTATGAAACCAATTGCTATAATTATAGTAGTTCAACCAAAGTAGAAGATCAGGGCAAAAAGTCTCTATTGCCTCAATCCATCTCCTGTTCTTTGTGTCTACTATGCTGTGGCTGAAACTAATCAGCCAGCTTCCTTTTTGCGCTATCATGCCTTCTCCACCATTATATATTATAACACTAAATCATAAACGATTTAGAAGTAGTTGCTATGCAGTACTAATGTGCCACATTCACGGCTGTCTCGCCTGTGTGACAAAATGCCTCTCAGGTGGTGGCCATCTCAAAATGAGGGGCTCGTGCTTCCTGGAGCTTGGCCCCCAGCGGTTCCCTGGCAGTCTGCTCAAGTTGTGGTGCCTGATTAGCCTCAATGACCTCGTTCACTTTGTTCCTGGCGATGGTTTCTTGCATTGGCTCTGCTATCTTTTCTTCTGTTCTACTTTTCTCTTGACAAAAACTTAATCTGTTCAAGGAACCAGGAAACATTCCCAACGGCTCCTTGAATACGGAGGAACTGATGTGTCAGTTCCCTCCCTTGATTCAGGCCATTAATGTTATGATTAAGACTCTGACTCTGCTCTCTGGGGGAATTTATGGATACCCTAGAACTGAAAGAGCTCATGATAGAAGATTTGGTAGAAGATGGGTAAATTATGAAGGAAAATGTATGGAATGGCATGAGTTACCATTTATGGAGAGGCTAGCCAGAATGAGAAACCCCTGGTGCATTTTAGATAGGAAAGAAAGGCAGGCTATTCTTGATAACATGAAGCCAGCCATTCAATATTGGAGCAAACCCTGGGGGTGGAATCCTGAAGAATGGTGTTTGGGTTACCTTGGTTACCTTGAGGGCAGATATGATTTAGGGCCATGAGAAAGCACAGTTAGTTAATGGTGTGAGACGAATTTCAAAGAAAAGCTCTGCCCACCTGGCCCTCTCCGCAAGACTTGCTGAGAATAATCAACTGCCTGTAATCATTTTTCTATGTAAGCTTTTATGTCTGCCAAGTTCCTTCTGTAATCTCTTAAAAGTGATGCTAGAATTTTAGTAAAATTGCAGCAGATTCAAATCTCATTAGAGTTGTGTCTGTCTATCATTCGCTGAATCCTGGGTTCTCCTAAGCCTTCACCCCTGTTCTCCCTCAGTCTTCTATCTCCAAGAGAGTCAGTCTGCGGCACTAATGCAGTTTGGTAGCTTTCTTTTTAAAATTGTTTTCTTCATTTGTTTTTGAAGAAAAGGTTTGTCTGTGTAGCCCTAGCCATCCTGAAAGTAGTCCTGTACACCAGGTTGGCCTCAAACTCAGAGATCACATGGCTCTGGCTCCATAGTTCTAGGATTGAAGGTAGACCAACATTCCTGGCTTTTTTGTTTTGTTATTATTAGATGACAATTTTGTATCTGTCAAGCATATGTTGTTGTACTGAGATTCACCCGTATTTTGTATTTTGAAGTTTGGCAGAGGGTTTCCCTATACTTCCCAGGAGGGCATTTATTCATGGCATTAATACTGTCCTGGCCTTCTGAGCTGTTGGATTGCAGGGACATCACCTTCTTCCAGCTGTTGGTTTATTTTGAAATTTATAATGAATATGAATATTTTACCTGTATGCATGAATATGTGCCATGTGGTTACATGGTTCTTACAATGATCAAAAGGTGGTCACAGAAACCCTGAATTTGAAATAATGGGCAGTTATGAT